TCACATATTATTCAAATAGACATCTTATTCCAAAAATTACTTCTTATTACATGATGTACCAGTTTCTAAATCGCTTGTAGGCTTAATCCAAAAAGTGGCAATAGCACCTATTCTTATATCTGACCAGAATGTTTAGAACTAAAACCCGTTTTGTTTTACATTGTAGGAGGAGAATCATGCTAGGCTATGGTGGCAAAAAGAAGGCGTCTGGTAGTGCCTTTTCTGGCTAATAAACTTTATTAAAAGGCATAAGCTTTTGTGAACTACAGCTCACTTCATCAGATACATAGAGTGGCTAGACTGATGTAAGGTTTAAATTGGGATAAAGGGAGGAGGAGGCAATTTGGTTATGCAGATGCAGGTTACAATGCCAGTTAATGCCATTTGGAGGTTTGGATTGAAGTATGATGTGAATGATCTTCAGCTCTTACTCTTATCTCCATCGATTTGTCCCAAACTCTTGTAACAGTGCCTGCAGGAAATTTGAGAATGGATCAGGTTAAAAAGAAAGACTTAAGCAAAAAAAAAAAATGTGGAGGTGCTATGCAGAGGGCACCTGATTGTTATGAATGGAGGTTTACAACCAGTCTTAAGTGGGGTTGCACTCCCTGTGAAGGATCAAATGAGCAGACCAGAACTCTGCACCAGCTAGGGAAACTTAAGTTCTTACAGGGGCCCAAAGTGCTTTTTGTTGGGTTAGAAGATCATGGCTGGTACAGCATGCTGTCTTTTGGGAGAGGACAAGGCTTTTCTTGGTGACTCATGCGCTATTGAAGTGAAGCATGAGCTAGTGCAGTGTACTCTAGAGCAGTGGTTCCCAAACTTTTCTATGTCCCACACCCGTAGGAAATGTTTGATTAATCTTTGCACCCCCTACAAAAATAATCTCACATCTGAAGATGTGATGCTCAAGGCACACTGGCAGCTGGCTGAGTGATAATTTGTGACTCATCACTGAGGGACACAAGCCACTCTTTGTCACACACCCTGAAATTCTATTTCGCACCCTCTGGGGTGCAGGCACCCTTGCTCTAGGGGCATCTACCTTTTAAATTAATCATTTCAGTAGGTGCAGGATGAAGCTATAAGAGAGTACATAGATTTAGGCCATCTGATGATGTGATTGACAACTATACTGAACCAGTTCCATTGCTTACATGTGCATTACCAGCCCCCATGGAGAGCTGTAATTGCCACTTTTAAATCTTAAACAGCTTGGACCAGGTTACTTGAAAAATAACTTTCATCTATGACTGCCAAGCCACACTTGAACATACAGTCAGGTCCAGAAATATTGGGACATCGACACAATTCTAACATCTTTGGCTCTATACACCACCACAATGGGTTTGGAATGAAACAAACAAAATGTGCATTAACTGAAGACTGTCAGATTTAATTTGAGGGTATGTACATCAAACTCAGGTGAAAGGTGTAG